AATAATCCAATGTTCCCAATAGGATTTAAAGGATGTGAGGCTGGATTAATACTTGTTGATTTAGAGGCTTATGGACCACGTAGGCTGTGGAACCGCAAGTTGAGGCCCAATCAGTTACTGCACACGGACACACAGAGTATTGTGTACATTAGGATGTCTGTGGTTCCTGCTCATTGTCGCTGATGATGTCAGTGGATGAAGTGGCTGTACATGTACTTCACAAAAGGTAAAGATGTGTGTGTTAAAGAAGGAGAGGTGGATATAATCCTGTTCCCACAGTTCGGTAAACCGGGAAATGGCAAACTTTTTTTTTTTTTACAAAATCAGTGCCTCCTATAAAAAAATGTAAATCATATAACAACTAGTGTAATTCCCTATTTATTCACTGGGACTGTGTTAATGTTGGTCAGTTTTATATGAATAAATATCCAAATGATTTTGGTGTGCTATATTAAAATTCAATTGACAACTGTGTTTTCTGAGTGGAGTACATCCCAAAAATAAGTAGCCTGGAGGAGTTCATTTTAATTAACACAGAATGACAGCAGATATTAGAACTGTCGCTTCAGGTCAAAGACATTTTTTTTAGACTGCTGAAAATCCCAACACAAAATTCTACTTGCATTTAAAAGTATTTTAATGATTTCCACCTTTTTGCACTTTGGTAACGTATGTATTTATTGATTCTTCTAGTCTTGCAGCAGAAATCCAGGAACTGAATTCATCCTATTCTATACACAATAGAACAAGTGTTGGAGCCAAATATGAAGTTAAACAGCATTAGCATCACAGAGAGTTCTTAATGAAGAGCTCATCGCTGCTTCACACGATCTTATTCCACGACCCACTGTTGGGAAACATCAGACAGTAACTCAGGCAGAGAGAGAGAAGATTCTTTAAAGCGTGACTGACGTGTTTTCATAGCCTCCTGCCTTCAACAAAGACAACAACTACAGCGGAAGCCGCCAGCATTGAAGTAGCAGTGAGACGACAGCTAATCATTAGCCAGTTAGCCTCCATTACGGCCTGAAATCCAGACCTGGCGATAAAGAACCAAAGACTCGGGGCTCACAACTTAATGATCCAAAGATCAGCACGGAATTTACGGGCTTGCGGTTCCACCGGAGCCCCTGGACAAAAGCCGTCTCCATTCCTTCATCTATTTCAGCTCAGAGACTCAGAGTTCATAAAAGCAGGAAACAATGTTGGATGGTAATGAAAATCTCCCACCTCTCGTGGAAAGAAAATAAAATGGAGACATTCGTCAGCGATGTAAAGCTTCCAGCTGATTGGATGATAAATAAAGGCAGGTCGCCAAGAACAGGACATTTCACAGACCAAGTATTTCACCCTGGTGTCAGCAGCATCCTTATTAGGTTTTCTTTTCTGTGAGGAGTCCTGACATTACAGCTCCTGCTGCAGACTGGATTTATGAACGTCTGCTGGAAATTACACTCAAGCATTTCAAGCCCACAGGACTCACTGTGATTTCTCCATACTGTGTCAATGTCCAGACTTCCATGACGTTCACCGCGGAGCCGACAGACGTTCACATGCTGCAAGTAGTACGCAACAACTGAAACCTTTTCCTTCTCCGAGCAAAACAAAAAAATAAAATACCAGCTCATCCAGCTTTTGACTAATAATTATGTTTTGTGGAAAAACGTTTGATATTTTTAGTCACAAATCCATGCTGATTCTCTGGAATCAATTTGAGCTATTTCTGCTACGTATTTGCTAATTTTCTGGTATTTTCCTGTTACCTTGGAGCTTGGAATTTTTATGAATTCCATTTTTTACTATATTTTGAAACTGACTTCTTATTCTTTTCTGTAGAGTTTATTTTGTGCTATATTTGGAGCAATCTTTTTTTGTTTTCCTTTGCTAAATGTTTGTAATGCTTCAATACAGGGTCAGGTGTTTAGGGGGATGTATTTTTTCAGTATTTTTTTCTGCTAATTTATTCCCTAACTTTTATGTCACTTCTAGTCCTGTTTTCAATGGTACTACTTTTAATATTTGTACAAAGGATCTAGCAGGTTCTTCTCTATATCTGTTGATATAGAGAAGTTGACCTCTATACACCTGAGTTGCAGGTGTGACGCTCTCAGTAATCACACACCTGAAGCTCATCTCTTGATTTGTCTCCGCCCACTTCCTGCTGCATAAAAGCCTTGGTTTCCCTGGGCCACATTTTGTTTGTTTCTTACTTGTTGATGATGTAGAATGTGTTTTTTTTTTTTAATCCTGTTTTTCCCAGCCCAAGTGTTATGTGAACCAATATCCCTGTCACGGACAGCTGGACAGAACTGGTTTCTGACCTTTAATAGAACAAAAAAATCTGCTCTTTTTTGTTGTTGAAGCCTCTTCAGAACTGATTGGCTTGTACAAGCTGTATAAATACAGAAATATTCTGAGTGTTTGTTACTACAAGCAGGAGCCTGTGGATATTAACTGATATTCCTTGGAGGAAAAAATTGGACAAACTGTCTTTGGAGCTTAAAATAAGGCACATGTTCTCAATGTTTGGCACTGACAACAAAACACAAATGTGAACTGATGCAGTTCAATTTGCTACAAAGCCAAGAATCCTGGGAGATTTAGACTCTTCGTTGTGTTAAAAAGTCCTGCTTTTTAAACTATATTTTTGATTTCCCTCCTTTTAGTTTTTTATTAACATTTCAAATTGGTTTCTCATTTAGCTACTTCTCTCAGGTCTGGCCAGTTACCTTCACATTTGACCGTGTGGTGGTGAAACAGAGTAAAACGATAAAAATCAAGCACCTCTGCCTCTTCGCCTTCTTGTTTTATGTCGCTCCAAAAGACGAAACACCGGTGGCTCCGCACCGACGTACGAGGCACAGAGTCAGCAGCTGCTTTAGATTCCAACAGTTTGAACCACTGATGGAAACATATTCTAAGCCGATGATTTGTTTTTACGCGACTGATTGGCAATTAAGGACTGTATTAAAATCCTGAAAGGGGAAATGAATGAATGCATTCAGGCCTGACGCACCTTGCATGTTAATGTTCGCGAGCAGTAGACGCAGAGTTTTCCAAGGATGATCGAATTCCACTACACCAGGTAATGACATCATCAGCTGGCATGTGATGGAAGATGATGTCACATAGGCTGTTTTTTTTTTTTTTTTACTCGTCTCAGGGGACCCTCTTCATCACAGTCACCCCCCGCACCCCCTATGATGTGATGTGAATGGCTCCTCTGTGAAACGGGCCAAAGATCTGCCAGCAGCCCCTCTCTTTGTGGCCTGAATGGGCACGGCTCTGCCACGTTTTAAAGCCCCCTAATGCACCATGGCTTGACCACAAAGGCAGCGTGGTAATTTGCCAAGGATAATGACGCTCTCTTAATTCGGGCCTAGGGGCCACAAACAGAAACCTTTAAAGAGAATCTCCAGCCCAGGGATGAGTCCCATGTCCCCCCCTTTCCTTTTACCCCTGCTCAGTCCGCCCCCTTCTCTCTTCTACTGACCTGAAAGGAGCTTGTTTTCTTCCGGCTTATTGTCTTCCTAAACTAAATATCAGCAAACAGCAGCGAGGCTGCGGGACACAACCTGCCAACCACTACTGCAGCCTCCCTGAACTTCTCCCAGAGGAGAGGAGCGGTAAAACGGCGAGGAGGTTCTTCAGAGCAGGAACTCTCTGCTCCAATGACACATATTAGAGGAGGACATTTGCAGCACGAATTGAATTGAGTAAAGTGAGTGTCAGTGCTGAGCAGCAGTAGAACATAAGTAAATACCAGAGCCCGGCCATCAGGGATATTAAGGTGAGGAGCAGCCGAGGCGAAGTGGTCTCTGCGTTCCATGATGAATTGCACTGTTGTGGTTGAAAAACGTTTTCTCTTTGGGCAGAAAAATGTTTATTTGACGAGTTAAATGCTCAGCCTCAGTCTGAGTTCAAGCCAAGTGAGAACAAACGGTGAGCTCAAACAGGTCCATAATCAGTCAATAAAATCCTGAAAAACTTTGCTGCTCCTCGTGTTTTTACCGATAATATAACTCACAGCAGATGGAACCTGCTGCTCAGCACCAGACAGACTAGAAGTTGTTTTTTTCTTTTTTTACTAAAATTAAATCTAGCAAGTCATAGACAATATGTTTGTCCAAATGGGCCTATATTTGTCTTTGGTTTTTCAGATTTAATCACTGATGAGCAGTGGAAAACAAACGGCCCCTCAGGTTCGCTGTACAACACAACATATGGACCACTGTTATTAAAAAAAAAAGATTTTAAAACAGCTTTGAAAGGTGTAAAGCAGTCTTTGGGAAACTTTTAATTGAATTTATAAAATTGGTAAACAGTCTAACAATCCTGTGAATAGTAGTGGAATGTAAAGTCAGTCATTGATCACGATCCCATTTAGAGGAAAATGAAGTTCCTGCCACATGTCATCATGATTATTGTAAGCTGCTCTGCTCCACACACAGCAGTGATTGAACACAGAATTATAAATTAGCTTCAGCCTCAAGGTTGTCAGCAGTGGAGTGATTCACTCATTCACATCCATATAGAGATGGGGGATAAGGTTGGGAAGGTAAAACTCATCCATTAACAGCCTGGGTGAAGCCCGTCACCCTCTGCCTCCCCTGCCTCTCTTCCTCTGTTCCGCCTCCACTGCCTCACTCTCAGCACTGCTTTTCAAATCACTTCACTCAGACAGAATAGAGGGCTTTTACCAAAAAAGGCCGCTTTGCTTTCAACACTGAGGCCACAGAGAGCAGAGATGGGGTTTTTTTTGGCGGGGCTTAAGAATTAATGAATGGAAGAAAATAATATCACAACCTATAATCAGAGAGGAGATAAGAGGCCCAGAGATAAGATGTGTTTGCCAATACATAAAGGAGCAGAGACAAAACAAAAGGCAGTGGATTATGGATCAGGTGCAAACACACACATCAGGTGAAAGATGCAGAAAAGGAAATGCATCAAAAAAGTTCAGAGAGAGGCTGAAAGTGTAGGAGACCAGAAGTACTCACCAACTTAGCATCACTGGGGTGAGAAGGCCGTTTGTCCTTTTCAATTCTGGAAGGAGGGAGAGAGGAGAGAGAGAGAGAGAGAGAGAGGAGGGGGAAGGGTGAGTTCTTCACTACTTCTACATAAGCAGTGTACAGAGCCACAAAGAAGAGCTGGCGCTCTCGTAAACAAACCGCCAACTTTTCAATGGAGCAAAGGAGGCGGAGCAGGAACGGCATTTAAACTGAGACTTCATGGGGTTAGAGTTGGAGGGGAGAGCGGGCCGGGGGGGAAAGAGGCACCTGTGAGATGCCTTTACATCCAGCGAATGGTCGAGTAGAGAATAACAAATCAGGGAGCTGAAAGCAGTTTGAAGCACTCATTTCCAAAGTCGGAGCCAAGACCATTAGGCCTTATACAAACCTCTGAGATGCTGCGGATGAAATGGGGGTCAGACATAGAAATCTCATTCAAATACATCAGAATATGTGAGATGGGTCTTTTAGCCATGAAGGTACTGTGTATTAGATGTCAAAAAAGTCATTGACTAAGTTAGATAAAAGAATGTTTGCCTATAAATAAAGCTCTAACAGCCTTAGAAGTTCCAATGTTAGCCAGTACGTTAGCTCAATAAAGTAATATAGGCCACAAATGTAACCAAAATGTGCAAAACAATCCCAGAGATGATGAAAAGACTAATGATAAGTCTGTCAAAGTAGCTAAATACCAGCTCTGAGACTTAATTAGCCCCGAAATACCTAAAATATGCTAAAGAAAAAGGAAGCAGAGAATACCTCAATGTTAGCTGAAACACAAAACTAGCTAACAAGGCTAAAGGCTACTGACTTTTTCTGTCTTGTGTTTGAGTTTTGCTTCCAGTAAAAGTGCATTTCATGTAATTATATAGACAACTTAATTATAAATAATCAGAGAGGCTTTTACCATCTACCCTTGGGATGAGACATTATTAACAACACGACAACCACGACCTCCATAATGTCTCATTTAAATAAATGCCACTTTGACCCTCTGACTTAAACACAGCAACTTCTGCTGCACAGAGGGGGGAAAACCAAGGCCAAATGCAGGCTGTTAAATTAACAGTATAGCAGTAATGAGGTGAGTGAACGCCTAATTGCGTTGAAACTAACACAGATGCTAATATGCAGAGACCACTCTGAGTTCCAGGCTTTTTGATCTCAACACCACACAGCAAATTGGAACAAATAGCCCAGGCTGGTTTCTAGGGCAACCAGAAAGAGCAGCTCAGACTTGCCATCGCTCTTGTGGTGTCAAAGTGCTGTGACGTGGCTGCTGTTCCCCTCACCTCTGAACACAGAGCAAAACGGGGGGGAGAAAGGGCGCTAATATTAAGGTCTGATCACAGCAGCTAGAAAATCACTTCATAGTTGGAAAATACCTGCCTCGAAATGGGATTTTAAACAAACGAACACATCATAACACTGGCTAGTTTTATGAGTAGATTTCTTTTTGGCTAATCGTTAAAAGTTAATGTTTTATGTGGACTGTCATTTTTTTCTAGCAATGCTCTTTGCCAAACCTGGCATAAATGACTTTACTGGTGTATTATGTTAGTTGGACACATGAGGGACTGGTGTGTGTAGTTGTTTATTGGTTTGTTAGCTAACACATTTGGCAAATTCACTTAAAACTTCTGAAAGGTAGATCATGTAAGGCCAACACATACAGACTTACACATGTGTTTTGCTCATTAAATTACTTTGAAATGTCAAGTTTAAATTCCAGCTTTACCCAGGATCCAGGTACAGACTCTTAAAGAAGGAATACAATCCAAAATACAGATCATTTAATAAGTGAAGCATAACAGAGAATTTGAGGTCGACTTCCACATAAACCTGCTCTCTGTAATCCCCAGGGTCAATGTGAAATAGTGCTTTATTCACTAGAAACAATGGAAGAAGCAAGAATTCTCATAAACAGCCTAGACCTAAAGTCTTTGAAACACACACACACACACACACACATATCAGTCTCCTGTAGTGATGTCTCTCCACCCAGACAGTCACCCAGAGAATTCTGGGGAAAGTCAAACTTCCTCCGAATCAGTAAAAGTTTGCTGATGACCTGACAACTGCACTGGAATGTGACATTCAACCCACAGAATCATTTCTGGTTTCGTTTCTGAATGAAAGCCTCTGACTCCGACTCTTTCTGAATAAAAACCAAATAGATTTAGTGTGTTGTTGTGCGTGCACTGATCACTGTTATAAAATGTCATGTGGGAAATAAAAAGAGTGAATCACAGCTGTGCCAGTGCTGTTCATAAGCATTGCATCAACTTTGGATGAGGATGATGCAACAGTGGAAGTCTGAAGTACGGTTTGTCTTTCATGGTTTTGAAAAAAAAGAAGAACAGATGACAGCAGGAAGTCATTTCTAGTGATGTAGTTGGGCAAAAACCAGACACTCGTAAAAAACAAACAAATCATTTTTACGACGTCAAAGTGGAAATAGAAGTAAAACCAAAAGGCAATTCAGAACTTTTACACAGCTCTCCTCTTCCTCCATCATTGGACACGTTTGTTTAAGTTAAAATCACCTATTGGTGTACAGTTATTATGGTGAACCTAAATGCAACATTAACACTTAGAATTGAAATAAGAACCAAGTGCAGTGAAAAATTTCACCAGTATTCAAAATTAGGATTTCAAACCAGCACAAAAGCAGAAACACGGTCAAGCAAGTGATGCCTCTACTGTCCTAGGAAAAAGCTGAAATGCAAATAGTGAGGTCATCACTCTGGAGCTGGATTTATGCAAAATGTAGGACAAACCAGGGAATCAAGGTAACAGTGCATAAGAAATAAGTGACTTGTTATTATTTATTTCTAATTTTAAAATGAGGAAACAAGAAATAAGACGTTTTGACTGTAGGATTATTGTCCCAGCATATTTAACAGCTTATGACACAACAAGGTATTCATTGTGATCTACAACAACCTATCGAAGTGAAACCAAACCTGGATTTTAAAAAATATTAATCAGTTGAATATGTCGCTTTGAAAAAGGATCCAGTTTCCTGACTGAATTATTGGATTCATTTTTCATCATAGTTATGTAAGTAAGTCTGAACCCTGAATGCACCAACATGAAGAGAGAGTGATTCTGGGCTTGTTTTAAATAATTGTAACTGTGTTTTGTACCGGCTGTGGGAGGTTGAGGAAGGCGATAATTAGTCTGCCCAAAAAAACAACCCACTAATTCAACAAAGGAATCAAACAGCTTCTGCTGTGAGATATTTTCTGGTCTGTGGTGAACTGGCCATGTTCTGTAACCAGCAGCGCTGGCTTCACTGTCCGCCTAAAGAAAACAGCCAAGAGATCACATCGTGCTCCAATCTGGACTGAAACTTTGTTTTGTTCTGCAGAAAACTTTTCTATCCCGGCACAGTGCCTCTCCCTTGATTTCTGTCCATGAGAAGTCAACATAAGCAGCGCTCATCAGATCCAGCAGTGAGAATCAAATTCTCCTAATTAGGCTGCAGTTACCGCTAACTGGATCAGACAATTAAATTCAAAGTAAGCGGGACGTAGGTGAAGAGGCGAGTTACAAGGCGGCGGGAGTTTTACGACGCAGCGTGTGGACTTTTCTCTTTTAAACACACAAATACATAACGAGAGCGGGAGAAATGGTGGGTTTTATCCTTCAGGGAAGTGAAGGAAATGTGTCTAATTATGAACTACCCACAGTTTCCTAGTTCCCATCAGACACTAACAGCATGCCGCTGCTAAACAGACTTTATGGGACAGAAAGCCAAACACAGCAGAGAGCAGCTTTTACAGCAGGAGGCTTCAGATATAAGAGACAAACTGTGATGCAGTGTCGGAGCCGCTCTCCAGAACGCTCCTCAAACTGTCAGAGCTACTCTCTGACATCGTCTGTGTGCTGTGTCCGTGTACATACATCACCGTCGGTGTCACGTGATCAAATTAAACTGCACATCATATGTTTTTTTATTTAATTTGTTTCAAGGCAGACAAATTAAGATCTAGGGCTGTCAAAATGAATATGTTAATGGAGTTAATTCATATGTAAAGATTAAACAGGTTCAAACTCCAAACACATTTTAAACACTGGGCAGAGTGATGCGCTCTGATGATCTGATAATTCCACCATTTATCATGGCTCCAGCACTCAAACACCTGAATTTGTACACACTGCAGGAAAATGTTTGTGTTTCAGGAGACTCAAATACAACGCCCAGCATGCATTAGTTTCAGGTCAGACGTCCATGTTGTGTCAGGGCGGTAAGAACGTCTGCGGCTGAAAAACTGACTGGCACAACTGTCAAAGGGAGTTTTTTTAAAAAAAAAACTGTCAACGTGTTCTTCATGTCACCATCAAAATTCAGAGTAATGAGTCAAATCCATCAACTCTGTGAAGAAAAGTCTCTAATAGGAGCTTTGGATATTGTTCTTCATCATGTTCATCATAGAAACAGGTTTGTTTTGAATTTAAAAAAACAAACAAGACGTTCCTCCTATAAGTGTTGAACAGTGATAATCTGCCTTAATACACTTCATGACAATGTTTTTCAAATTTGTCTCAATGCAGTAAAACAACAAGTCAGTTACGTTCTGTGCTTTTCTACGCCAATTTCAACTCCACATTATTAGCCTTAAAATCCAAACGTTGTTATGGGTGAAAAAAACAGCAAAAGTTCCAAAAGTCAAACATTAACTAAAGCTAAGAAATACAGAAAACAGCAAAAGTTCCAAAAGTCAAACCTTAACTAAAGCTAAGAAAGTAAACAGAAAGTCATAGCTCACTCTGCAGCAGATATTAGTACATTCCCAGGGTAAAAATTCAAAATAAAGCTTTTTGTAATTTTTCGTCTCGCCGTCTGGATTATCCCTGTTGACCTTGACAGCAAGAGAAGCCAAAGTAAAGTGGGCAAATTTTGAACTGTTCTTTCAAGGTGGTTAAACAATCTAACACAATTAAGAGGCCAGTGGCTGCTGTGGACGGACGAGTGGCCGTGAGCTCACAAGGGAGCACACACACACCCACACACACAGCTTGGCAAAA